GGTCAGTCCAGGGAGGACGGACAGGTCAAGGGGGCGGGATGAGGTTAGTCGGTAGGAGATGGGGGTGCGGCTTGAGGTGGGAGGAGGGGATAGGTGGGAGGAAGAGCAGGTTAGGGAGGCAGGGACGGGCTGGACTGGTTTTGGGATGCAGTAGGGGGAGGGGAGATTTTGAAGCTTGTGAAATCCACATTGATATCATTGGGCTGCAGGGTTCCCAAGCGGAATATGAGTTGCTGTTCCTGCAACCTTCGGGTGGCATCGTTGTGGCACTGCAGGAGGCCCAGGATGGACATGTCGTCTGAGGAATGGGAGGGGGAGTTGAAATGGTTCGCGACTGGGAGGTGCAGTTGTTTATTGCGAACCGAGCGTAGGTGTTCTGCAAAGCGGTCACCGAGCCTCCGCTTGCTTGGTTTCTCCGATGTAGAGGAAGCCACACCGGGTACAGCGGATGCAGTGTACCACATTGGCAGATGTGCAGGTGAACATCTGCTTGATGTGGAAAGTCTTCTTGGAGCCTGGGATGGGGGTGAGGGAGGAGGTATGGGGGCAGGTGTAGCACTTCAGGAAGTCCAGTTCGTCCCCGCCTCCCTAACCTGTTCTTCCTCCCACCTATCCCCTCCTCCCACCTCAAGCCGTGGTTTCTGGTGAGGTTAGGGGAGGGTTGGGGTGGGGAGTTGCTAATAGCCTGGGTTCAGTCTATTTATAAGTGTCATGGTGAAGCTTTGGCATTGTGGCTTAGTAATTTAGGTTTAAGATTTAGGGCAGGGAGTTTAGTTGCTGTACTTTGTGGAGGGTATACCAGTAACCCTTTTAAGGTTTGTGGGTGTTAAACACTTCTGCAAAGTGTATCGGGATGTTCTATTACACTAAAGCTGCTGTAAAAGTGTAAGTTATTGTTAAAGATGCTTTATAAATATGTTCCTATGGATCAGACCAAAGCTGTAAAGTCCTGCCACATTCATTCCTGAATCATGGTGGACAATTAAACAACTCACTGAGGGAGAAGACTCCACAAATGTCCCCCTCCTCAATTATGGAAAGAACACAACATACAAGTGGAAGAGAGAACGCTGAAGCATTCGCAGCAATTTTCTGCCAAAAGTGCTGAGTGGATGATCCATCTCGGCCTCCTCCAGTGGTCCCCAGCATTACAGATACCAGTCTTCAGCCAATTTGATTCACTCCACATGATATCAAGAAACGGTTGGGGACACTGGAGTATCGAGTATAGACCCAGTTCCCTCAAATGACAAGCTCTTCATGCCTAAGGATCATTCTTGTAAACCTCCACTGGACCTGCTACAATGCTGCACATCTTAGATAGTGGGCCCAAAACTGTTCACAATATTCTAAATGCGGTCTGACCAGAGCCTAATACAGCCTTAACAGTACATTTATGCTCTTGCATTCTAGTCCTGCAAGCATTGCATTTGTCTTTCTAACTGCATGGAGAAGCTGTGCAGTAGGAGAATCCTGAACTGAGACTCCTAAGTGCGTCTGTGCTTAAGAGTAGCGAAGCTCTTGCTCGATTTAGAAAACAACAGATTTGTCAGGCATGATCTCCCTTGATGAAGCTGTGCTGACTCAGGCCTATTTTACCATGCAGTTCCAAGTACACTGCAATCTTTGGGACCAGGATGATGGTGGTCTTCTTGAAGCAGGTGGGGACATTAGATCGTAGATAGGAGAGGTTAAAGATGTCTGCGAATTCTCCTGCCAGCTGGTCACTGACCTTCTGTTCAAATAAGTGTTTTGGGCCCTGTATCCAAGGAAGGATATGCTGGCCTTGGAGGGGGTCCAGAGGAGGTTTGCAAGAATGATCCTGGGGATAAAGAGGAGTGGTTAAGGACTCTGTACTCAATGCAGTTTAGAAGGATGAGGGGGTATCTGACTGAAACTTACAGAATACTGAGAGGCCTGGATAGAGTGGGCTTGGAGAAGATGTTTCCACTAGTAGCAGAGACTAGGACCCAAGGGCACAGCCTCAGCATGAAGGGACGATCATTTAGAACTGAATGAGGAGGAATTTCTTCATTCAGAGGATGGTTAATCTACAGAATTCATTGCCACAGTGGGCTGTGGAGAACAAACCATTGACTGTATTTAGGACAAAGATAGATAGGTTCTTGATTAGTAAGAGGATCAAGGATTATGGGGAGAAGGCAGGAGAATGGGTTTGAGAAACATATCAGCCATGATCAAATGGCAGAGCAGAATCTATGGGCTGAATGGCCTAATTCTGCTTCTTTGAGAGTAGCTTTTCAATTCCAGGTTATTTTCAAATTTTTACGCTGGTATTGAACTCCTGCCCTCTCTGGATTGCCAATGCAGCAAAAGTGTGCTGTACATTGCTATCAGAGGTATTAGGAGCTGCTGATGCTGGAGAATCTGAGATAACAAGGTATAGAGCTGAATGAACACAGCAGGCCAAGCAGCATCAGAGGAGCAGGAAAGCTGACGTTTTGGGTCTGGACCCTG